CTACATAACCAAAGCATCAGGGAGTATGCAGGGATTGGTGTTCCACGCGCCGCACGTGCTGGCGTCAGCAGTAGTAACTTTTCTAAAGCAAATATCTGACACAACTGGCATCTTGCACACGCGTTTTTCAACGCTTTATTTTGGTTTTTGAGTTCGAATCTTTTATACGGGGAAGGCGTGCGCGTGTGGCGCGTGGAACAAACACCAATCCCTGCGTTCTCCTTGATGCTTGGGTAATATAGCAATAGGTCTATTGGTCCAGGCAGGATGAGAAAAGTACAAACATAAAAGATGTTTAGAACTCCCTCTAATGCCGAATTAGAGTGCAGCTCTTGAGGAGGAGGAGGGGAGGGCACGGAGGGCAGGATATGTCCCTCCTCCGCTTCTGCTCCCCTCCGCATTAGCGGAAAAGTTTCCCCGCTAAATTTTGCGTGGAAGTTTTCCGCTAAATTTAGCGGATAATTTTGTTCCCCTACATTCAGTGTGGAACTTTTTCCGTTAAATTTAGTGGTAAATGTTTCCACTAAATTTAGCGAAAAAATTTTTCCGCTAAATTTAGCGGGAAATTTTTTTCCGCTAAATTTAGCGAAACATGTTTTCCGCTAAATCTAGCAGGGTATTTTTCCACTAAATTTTGCAAAAAAAAATTCTTTCTCCTCCTCCCTCGTGACGTCACTCATGACCCTCGTGACGTCACATGTGACGTCATTATAGGAAACGTCCCATAATGCAACGCGCTGTTACGCTGACGCCGACGGCGACGCCGCTCAAGGTGGAAACGGGCGCCTAAGAACTGCGCTCTAAAAAAAAGAAACGCAAAGCAAGAAGCAATACAACAGATATCCCAAGAAAGGCGATACAATACAACACAGCAAGCAGTAGAACCAAACTCCAGTCAAGAAGGACAATACCGAAGTATATGAACACCGAAACACTTCGAAATACAAAAATAAATCTAAAACGACACTTCTCACAATTCTAGAATAAATGATATAATGATAAATCAAAATTCGAAGTTGAAATAACCGAACATGGAAGAGAATTTCAATCCTCACTCGTGCAAGGAAAAACAATTCTAAAAAAAAAAAAAAAAAACAGATTAGTGCGTGCGAAGTTTTGTGTCAAGAAATGCTGATTGTGCGTAGTTCGTCTTGTGGCAAAATTGTTGTGCGTATATTTATACAGCCGGAAGCTAGTCTGCCTTAGTGGGCATCTGGTGTTTCAGCTGTGGATGAGCAATTTGGACTGTGCGATAGAACCGCTAGCCTGGGGTCTTTAACGTGCACCACGCCCGCCGGTACGATGCTCATCCAGATCGCAACGGACAGGGGTGGGATTTGAACCCAGGATCCCTGGGTTCTGCTGCGCGAACTCTCGCTCCCCGTGCTCCGATCTGGCGTGCGCTAGTCCACTCGGCTTTTTTTTTTTTTTTTTTTTTTTGTAAAATGTGTTTATTTACATATTAAAAGCATTACAGAGGGCCACCTTGGCCAAAGAGCACTCGCACAAAATGAGACGTTATTACATATGCATAACCCGGTACATTCACATAGAGGTTTGAACATTATACAATGTCTAGTGCTTAAATGTTCCTCTTTTTACCATATAGTTTCTTAAAGCGACTTGCATCGCTGGCCATGACTCAAAACCCGGAATTTCAGTGTGTTCCAGGAGGCTACTGGTGTATGCAAAGTTGTCAACAAAGTGGTGCCAAGCAGGTTTGCCCTTTTCTAACACCAGCGTGTGGTCCGTTCGAGATCTCCAGATGGCGTGCAACCCGAGCAGCAATAGCACTTCTGTGCATTTTTTATTTTCACCCGTCTCCACTTGAAGATATTTCAAGTTCTCCCAGTTCAACTGTGCACTGATGTTAAAAGCATTTCGAAGTTCAGACCAGAATATTTCCGCATTAGTACAGAGCAGAAAAACGTGTTGCAAAGTCTCCGGGAAAGGACACAGTGCACAATTGGTCGACCATGCTACAAAGAACCCTTTTCTCTCAAGCCATGTTTTAACAGGCAGCACTTCTACATGAAATTTTACGAAGAAGTCTTTGATGCTTGTTTTTACAGGGAATTTACGCAATTTTTTGAATACACTCGATCCTTCTGAATTTCCCGGTGGGGGGCGGTACATTGGAGGTGGAATGACTAAGTCAACAGTATCCCAATACAGCCTTTTTCTGTTCACTTGGATTAGGTAGTCCCAGGAAAACCTGGCGTGGAAGAAGTGGATCGCATCATTAATTTCTTTATAAAATCTGAGTACTGGTGCTTTCATTGAGGCTTCTTCCGTACTTACTATCCAGGAGGGCAAGTACCGTCCCCCTAGACGTTTTAGCGCTCGTGTTGACACCGGATTAATCTGGTCCCGGAAGAACAGAAAGCGTTGAACTTTTATTTTTAACTCTAGGTTCACAAGCCCCAAACCGCCTTTGAACAGGCTCAGAAACAAATTGGTTCTACGCATTCGTTCAAATAAAGATTGCCAGATGAACGTGGCACAAAGTCTGTGGAATTTATGAATCTCTCCTTGCCGGGATGGTATAATTTGTGCCGCGTACCATACACTCGAGAAAAAGACAGAATTACAGACAAACGTTCTGTTAAAAAGAGAGAGATGTCTTCCATACCATTCGTTCATTTTGCCGTTAACCTTGTTTAAATGGATACCTTCATGGCCAGTGCTCAAGGATTCCGGCGCCAGTCGAATACCGAGGTAATTATCGAGTGAGCAAGACCAATTTATTCCCATATATTCCTCTGGTTTGAACGTCCACGGGCCAAGCCAGGATCCGGTCGATTTAGAGGTGTTCATGGCTGCTCCTGATATTTTGCAGAAGTCCTTTATATGATTCAAAGCCAGCTCCAGCTCTAGCTTCGACGAACAGATCAAAGCGACGTCGTCTGCGTAGGCTAATATTTTGGTCGGCTCGGAACCTAGATTAACACCACAAATATTGACATCGGTCATGATTGATCTACACAGAGGTTCCAAATATAGAGCAAATAACAAAGGCGACATCGGGCATCCCTGCCGAACTGACGATTTGACCTTTATCGGGGCAGTTTGTTGTCCGTTCACTAACAGCCGGGTTGTGATGTCTTTGTAGCAAATTTTTATGTACTTCGTTAGCCTTTCTCCTAGGCGGCATCGTTCAAGAAGCGCAAAAAGAAAGGAGTGTGACACTCTGTCAAACGCTTTGCTGAGGTCTACTTGCAGTACTCCAATTGGGAACTGTTCCGCCTCCGCTGTCTCACATATGATTCTCATTGTGTGCGCGTTTGTAGTGATGGATCTGCCTTTAAATCCGTAGGGCTGGTGCTCTCCTACGATGCCGCTTAATCCCACCTCCAGACGTTTGGTAAGAATTTTCGCCAGAATTTTGTAGTCTGTGGTCAGTAGACTGATTGGTCTTAGGTTGTCTACAGTAGTGACACTGGAGGCAGTGTTTTTCTTCGGGATAAGCACAGTCAATGCTTGTCGCATCGACGGTGGCAGCAAATTGCGTTTTAAAATGTCTTGATAGACGGCCCGAAGCAGCGGGACTAGCAGATTCGTGAACTTTTTATAAAACAGTGAACCTAGGCCGTCAATTCCGGGTGACTTCCTGACTTTAAGAGTTTTAATCGCCTCTTCAATTTCTTTTTCCGTAATTTCACTGTTTATTCTTTCCGAGATCTCTGAAGGAATTTCAGGCATAACTTCCAAGAATTCCTCGAGACAGGTTCCGCTTCCATATTTTTGCCCTCCCAGTAGTTTTGTGAACGTGTCGACCAATTCTTTTTCTATTCGCTCTTGCTCCGACACAATCTCATCTCCAGTTCGTAGCGATGTTATTTGGTTGCGGCGTACGTGCAAACGTTCTTTAGTTTTGAAGATTTTAACCGGTCTTTCTTCGAGCTGTAGCGCTTGCAGCCTACATCGCACCATCGCTCCCTGGTACTCCTCCTCTAGAAGCGAGAGCAGCTTCGATTTGCATTCGCGAATGTCTTCCGCGAATACTCCTGGAGTATGGTTTTCTTCACGAACTAAGATTCGCAGGGTATTTTCTAGGGAGCGTTTCTCTGCTCGCGCTCGTGCAGCCTTTTCTTGGCTGAACCGGAAAGTAATTAACTTTACTTCTTCTTTGAGCAATTCCCAGCTGACGGCATCTACCGCGTCTACTTCGCTTGTATTCCGGATGACGTCCTTAATTTGCTTAATTAAAGTTTCATCCTCTAAAAGGCTTTCATTCATTTTCCAGGAGCTCCAGCTCGAGGCTCTTTTTTCCTTACGCTTTGCTCTTCCTAAACAGACCGAAACGACTGCGTGGTCGGAGAAGGCAACAGGGGTAACCGAGTATGCGTCAGCAGTCGCCACGCATTCACTTGAAGCGTACACCCGATCGAGACGGGCGTGACAAGTGCCCTGCCAATGGGTATATTCTAGACCCGGTGCTGCCACCACCTCTGTCACATCTTGAAGATCGAAATCCCGCAGTAGTTTATTCAACTCTACGACACTGGAGTCCGATTTTAGCCCGTTGGAGCAATCTCGTGCCTTTAAAACACAATTGAAATCTCCCGCCAGTATAGTCTTTGCAGGCGTATCTAAGTATTCCCGTAGATTGATAAAAAACGATTTGCGGTCGGCTGGCGCATTTGGTGCGTGCACACAAACAAGCTTAAAGATATCACCGTGAAACAGCATATCTACTGCACAGATCCTTCCACTCTTATCACTTTCCCACTCGGGAAGTAGCGTGAAAGCTTTATCTTTTCGAATGAGAAGAGCCGCTCCCCCGCTGTGCGCGACAGCGTTAGAATGGAAAAGACTGAAGTGTCTCTCAAAAAACAAAGCCATTTCTTGTACCTGTAAGTCGGAGGCGAGCTTCGTCTCCTGTAAGAACACAATGTCGGCATCCCTTTTCAGTAGTTCGTTGAGTACCCATTGTTTTCTCTTCCGCACAATTAGGCTGATGCAGTTTAGGGTTAATACATTAAACCGTTTTTTCATTTGTTAGCTAGGAAAGAGGTAGGAAACCTAAAACCCTATACTGACGCGCTCGAACTAGCAAGGAGAAGCACTCACTACGAGCCGCGGTAGAAGGTTCGTGCCAGGTTCCGTGCTAAGAGTCCGTCTCGAGGCGGTTGTCCAGAGCCGCACGGAGCGTGGGCGGCTTGCGCCGTCCGCGACACGGCGTGACCAGTTTCGAACGCTGTTGGGTCGGCATACCGTCCTCTGCCCCAGGGCTTCGGTCTTGCTCGTGCGGTCGCTTGGTTGGTGTAGCGGCTCCCGCTACCATAGCTTCGTCCCGCATTTCGCTGTCAGAGAACCCACCATCTGGCTCTGGTATCTTGGCTGTAAGTTGCGACTCTTTCTCCGGCGTTGTAACAGGCGCTTCCATGCCACCTTGTTGTGGTTCCCTAGAGGGAGCGTCCGAGGGGAGCTCGACCTGTGGAGAAGGTTCCCTGGTTCCAGACGTCGGCGTTTCGGCAATCCTCGGGGCCGCAGGAAGCGTCCTTACTGTGGCGTTCGCACTGGCAGCTAGCTCGGCTTCCGCTTCGTCCATAATAAGGTCGGTGTTCTCGTCCGGAAGTGGTCCAGCCGTTGCCACTGCGTAAGATTTGACGCAGTTTTCCCTTGTGTGGCCGTAGCGGTGGCAATCGTCACAACGGGGGACGCGGCAGTCCTTTCGGATGTGGCCGGTCTTCTTACACCGGAGGCAGAGCGGGGCTCGTCCGGGCACTAGGACGAGTGCAGAGCCGCCGAAGAAACGCAGTTGATGCGGGACGCTTTCTTTACTGACGCCTTCCTTCAGAGTGATCCGAACAAGCCTTGTTGTTGACTGGACTCCTTGAAAACCTTGGGCTCTCCACGTCTCACGGGTTACTTCGTGTACTTTGCCATATGGCTCCAGTGCTCGTCGAACTGTGTCGTCGGGGACGTGATAAGGTACCCAGTGAAGTTTCAGACAGGTTTCCGAGTTCTTCGGGTCTATGAGGATACATCGCTTGCCTTTGACAGTCAGTTCCTTGGCGGCGAGCAGCCGGTTCCTCGTTGACGCAGAGTGGAAGGTGACGAGCCACACGTGGTTCATTTGATAGGCGCCAAAAGACGCCACGTCGCCGAGGATTTGCAGTCGTTGCAGTTCTTCTCGAAAGTCCTCAATTCGGTACGGACGGCCGGTTACGTCGCAGTGTAGAAAAACAGAATTCACAGTGGCTGCTTCAGAAGGCAGAGAAGGCAGAAGTATCTTATAATCATCAGCAGACGAGATACCGCGGCCGGCAACGGCCGTTATCATCGCTCCGTCGGAGCTCGCCATCCTATCGACCGATCGCTGCGAGCGCCGGCAACAGAATGCGCTAGTCCACTCGGCCACCGAACCCCCTTCGTCTTGTGGAAAAGCAGCTTTAAATAATAAACTGAATCCAAGGGCAACTATGGGCTAGTTGGTGCATCACTGAATGGAAGGCGCCGAATAAACAAGGACGAAGAAGGGGACAGAGACGAAGCGCGCTCTCAACTGAAGGTTTATTGAAACAAACATTGACTATTCATACCGTCTATCTGGATGTTGGCTCAGAAAGAAAAACTCTTTATCTGTTAAGTGCACTGACGGCGCACAAATACACACACTCTCCCCTTGCTCTATTTTGCGGAATGCCTCATGTATTTCTCGCGCTGTTTTGTTTGCGTATCTGCCCAGAACTGTTGTTTTTTCCAATTCCGGGCCACATGGGCACCTATCACAGTGCACCGCAAGATTGCCCGACGGGGACTGTTTCACTGACCAGGCATGTTCCCTGGCCCTCTCATTTATGCAACGCCCCGATTGGCCCACATACGATTTCCTGCAACTCATTGGTACGTTATACACCACTGACGTTGCACACTCCAGGCATTGCTTAGCTTGTTTCTTTCGAGACACTTTACCCTCTTCCTTTTCGTTGTTTATTTTTGAACATAGATGAGACAGCTTGTGTGGCGCTGAAAACACCACTGGCACTTCAAAATGAGCCGCCACTTTTTTTTAGATTGTGAGATAGATTGTGAATGTAAGGAATCACCGCCGGTCTTGTTAGTTGTCTGGAAGGAGCATGATCGTCATCTTGCTGAAGAACTGCCATCTACACTACACGTATCACTTTATGCTGACGATATCTGTGTCTGGGCATCTGGTGTAACACGACCTCAGATGCGGGCAAGACTCCAATGTGCTCTGAAGACAGTACATCAATATCTAAGAAAACGTGGACTCGAGATCTCCGTCTCAAAGTCCGCTGCTATGACATTCTCTCGCAAGCATATGGAGAGATATCCCGTTGTCATCGGTGGAGAAACAGTCCCCAGCTTTTGGCAGCCTAATTATCCCGGATTCACTCTGGACAGAGGTCTTACGTGGACGCCTCAGGTTTCACGACTCAAGATCAAATTGACGTCCATAATACATCTTACGCGATTTATCAGTGGTACAACATGGGGCGTCACCGTAGGCTGCCTACAGAGACTGTTCGAGGCCTTCTTTCTTGGACTTCTGAGATACCACTTGCCTATTCTGAACAACACCCGTGCGAACAATATACGAGCTATCCAGTGCATTGAAGCCCAAGCTCTACGCGCCTGCTTAGGGCTGCCACGGTGTGCTTCAACGTCCGGGACAATTGCGGAGGCTCGAAGGTATCCAATTAAAGCCTATATGATACAAGAAGCTATCCGACTACATTTAAGACACCTTACAAGACATCCGAACCACCATCTGGCCACGTTACCTTCAGAGAGACCAGAGTCTGCCTTCTCCAAAGCGATAACGAAACACAATATTGTTCCAAGTGGCCTATTTTCTGTACAGAGGGAAGGAAAACCACCATGGACCTTTCTGAAGCCGAGAATAACGTTACACGTAAAAGGTATACATAAGAAGACGTCAATTCCATCTCCGGTTCTCAAACAACTGACATTGGGAGTCATCAATGAGGCATGCGGCTTGTCGACACATATATACACCGATGGGTCGTCCTCTGAAACACTGTCTGGAATTGGAGTTGTCATACCTGCCCACAACCATTCCGTCAAGATGAAGATGAGGCACCGAACGACATCAACGGCTTCCGAATTAGCTTCCATGTGAGAAGCAATACGGTACATTATGTCTCGATTACCGCAACAATAGACAATCTTCAGTGACTCGAAGTCAGCATTACAAATAATACAGACTTTCATGAAACGCAATGCGTACGACCAACTGGCATATCAGGTATCCGCTTTCTGCCATCAAGCCCTCGTAAAGGGCCACCAGATTTCTATACAGTGGATACCAGGCCACTGTGGCATCCCCGGAAATAATGCAGCAGACAGAGCCGCGAAGTCAACGACCAGTGCCGATCAAATTTTGATACCTTACTCCAAAATTGACACCACCTCTAAAGTTCAAACCTTGGCAAAGACAATTTCATTAGGACACTGGATGAACGTAAAAACACACGACCGGAGATTAAACTCTCTAGACTCCCAACGAGCCTTTCGCGTTCCATCCGGAGTTTCAAGACGACTGGAAACAACTCTGCACCGACTGCGACTAGGTGTAGCATATACACCGCAGTTCCTCTGTCGAATAGGACAGAACATCTGCGGGAATTGCACCAGCTGTGAGGTGGAGGGGTCAATTGAGCATATCGTGTGCCAGTGTGTTGAGTTCGAGGAAGAACGCCAAACGCTTCAAGAAACGTTACAAAAAAATAGATTCCCGTCCGTTTAGCGCTTTCAAAGTGCTTGGCAGCTGGGACACAACCGAACAGTTTATGAAGGCCACCGAGGCTCTAATACGATTTCTGAGAAACACAGGACTTTCGGACAGACTCTAAATGACTAAGAGAGAGAGAGAGAGAGAAGTGTTGAAAGGAAAGGAAGCCTGGAACTTATTAATAAATGACTAAGAACTTTATATGAGACTGTTTACACAATTCACTTGATCATAATCATCTTCATTGACAATTTTCACCTCATATTTCTACCCCACTGCTATGTCTTTCCTTCCCCCTCTCCCTATCCCCGGTGCAGAGTAGCAAACTAGAACTGACGTTCGGGTTAAAATCTCTGCCTTTCTTTCATAAAGCACTACTACTACTACTACTACTCTATCTAGTTTGTCGTTGTCGTTGCCATAGCAACCCGTACGTCGCAAGCCGTAGCAGTTGAACTCGTTCCGACTCGACACACCTGTGTGAATCGCCCTTTAATCTGAAACGAAGTACAGTTGATAACTCTGTAATCACGCCAGGCTCACCGCGTTCCCGGCCGAACCAGTCATCAGAAAACCGTTTCTCCTCCTCATGTTCGTACTCCTACGCATCGTTTTTATTTAATTTTTTTGCTCCTTCAACCAGACAGCCAAGGATTGGAATGACCCGCCCAACGACGCTGCGCTTCAATCCAACCCACAGCCATTTCATAAAAAGTCATCGGGCAAGTCATCTGCTGATGTAATAACCCTCATGTAACATTCCATAAGTGGGATAATCAAGGAATAATGAATAAATCAAAGATAATCCGGAAATATTGGTCATTTTAAACGTTTTAGTGCATTTGTATTTACTTGTTTGAATGGAAGTTTGAATACTCAATTTCAGGGATCAAAATAAACAAGCTTTGCGAGTCTGAGTACGAGATATTAGACACGCGAGGCAGTTTCGTAAGACAGGAAAACTTGATCTTTGTTGTTGATAAATTTAAATCAAAACGTACTCGAGTGAATGTCAACGTATTCGTAAAGTTAACCTTTCGGTAAACATCTACCTGGCTCGGAATTATTAAAATAGGAAAAAAGAAAACTCTAGCCATCGGAAATCTGAATACCCAACGTTTTGAGGCCAGCTCGGCCCCTTGATTACGGGGTAACTGTTTATGTAAAAAAAAGTCAAATTTGGGGGTTTTACGTGCCAAACCAACGACGAGCATCTGGCACGGCCCAGCGGAGGACTGAGGATTAATTTGGACCACCTGGGGATCTTTCGACGTGCAACCGAAAGCTCGGTTACACGGCTCCTCCTCCGCAATAAGCTTCCGTCAGACTGCGGGCACCTCGGCCGGGATTCGAACCCGCCACATGGGTATCGGTAGGCCAGCGCTCTTGCCTCGTTGCCACCGAGGCGGCTAACTGTTTATGTACTTATGGTCGTCTTCCAAAGTGCCCGGTGTTATATTTTTCGATTTGCCTGGTGTCCTTGAAATTTAACGGCGTGATTGTTCCATTTCAAACATCATGGTGTGTCTTATACCCTAGTTACACGGGAGCTTTCAACTGCCATTGAGTCAACGACAGTTGACTCAATCGCGATCGGCCGGAGTTACACGGCGGCGCCAACTGTCATCGAGCCGCTAATGACAGTTGAGTTCAACTGAGCTCCCCTACCTCAGTTCAACTGAACGGACTTCCCCAACTGAGGTAAAATGGCGCCTGTCCGCGGGACCGCTGCCGCCGACCATCGTTTCCGAGGCACTTACTGTTTCGGAATGCAGGGGGAGGTGTCTAAAAAGAATCGTAGCAGCAAAATATCCGGGAAGGAATAGCTTTAGGCGTCCGAGCTACCGCTAAAACGATCCCGGCTAGCCAGCCGAGTGCAGCTGTAGCCTCCACCATGGTAAGAAAAAACTAGCGCCACGAGGCGCTAGTGGCAGAAAGGCGAACATACGTCTGGTCGGAGATTAAAATCGGTCTCGAAAGGCTGCCAGATGGCGCCACCACTGCCGTTGGCGTGTAGGGAGGCTCTAGTGAGGGTGGGCGCAACTCAAAACCTGGAGAGCGTTTGCAATTTAATGGCGGCGCCAGAGGGAGAGGATTCGAGAAAGGATATGCGCCAGTGTTGCCTGCACGAGAGCAGGCGCCCGCTCTGTTGCAACTCTGTTGCTCCATGCGCCTTTCCTCCTCTCGCCTCCCATTGCAAGCAACGAGCGCCTTGGCGCAGCCTCTCTCGCTTCCTTCTCGCTCCGAGAATTGCAAACGTCGAGCGGAGAAAGCAAAGTTGCCAGACAAGCAGCGACGTCCAAGATGGCGGAATTTACCATTTTTCGCGTTAAAAAAATACTTAACCTATCGCAACAAAACTGGTGGCTATGGAAAAGTAATCATTTATACCTTGTGTAAATTATTCAAGCACCTTAAGGGGCTTTTATGACCCGAGTTAGGAAAGAAAACGACCCTTTGCCCCATAGACTCCCAGCAAAATTTAGCAATTAAATGGCGTCCATGTCCCGTGATCGCCGATCTAGCAGTTGCACCCACCCTCACTTGAGCCTCCCTATTGGCGTGCGCCCTCCGTCCTCCTTTCCCCCCCCCCCCCCCCCCCCCGGTTCTTTT